GGATTCCGCACAAGAGAAAAAAAGACAGGATATAAATTCAATGAAATAATGATAAATGCCTTTTTGGTAAGTGTGCCCAAAATGGTGAACAATAAAATGAATAGCCTCCCAAATCAGTAACACATAATGAAAGGCAACACAGCTCTGAGGGTCATTCAAAGAAGAAAAAAAAAAACTGGTGGAGAAACTTTAGAAAGGAATGGATGCAAAATGCCTATCCCAAGTGGCACTGGCCTGTTAGGAGGCTCTGAAAGCAGTCTGTCCCTTGCTGCAAACCATTAGCCCAGGTTGAACCCGAACAACAAGAAGCATGTTTCTTTCCTTCCTATTATCCTTTTTGGCTCTTCTGCGAGGAACTCCCTGACAGTGGCAATGGAACGGGAAGTGGTTTTTAAGGGGCGTATGAAAACAGGCAGTGACTTCAGGAAACGGGAACCATTTGTTTTTCTTCAGCCTGCATCACTATTATGTGCATGTGTTTGGTAACTGACATTGTCACCTAGAACAGGAAGCTAGTCATAGAAAAGCTCACATGATTCTGACATTTATATTTACCAGGGAGGATGAAAAGAAACTGCTTTTAAATGCTGGCTGATCTTTGGCAGGACTATGTATCAGGAGAGAGAAGGTGCCTTTCAGAAGGAAATACAGTGTAAGATTCTCACACATCAGAGTGACACCTGACAGACTTTAATTCACATATTTGTCCTGGCATCATGTTTAGGGCCAAGCTAAGAGAGACAAAAGCAGACTGGTAAGTTAAAGTCAGGATTGTGGCTAAATCAATATGAAGTAGGGTGGAAAGGTGGATGGGGAGCAAATTTCAAGCACTGCATAGGCAGGAGAGATGAGAGAGCCAAGCTGCGTTTCCACCCCTTAAATGTTTTGCCTCCACTGTTTTTCCACTCAGAGGTGTTCTGAGAAGGGAAATGTTGCAGATATTTCTGATTCAAATATGTTTCTCGTATCCCGTCTGATGGAATGGCCTTTGGAATGCTGCCTGCACATTCATGACAGGAAAATGTTTCCGAGGAGTGCATCATTTGCTTATGAGTCTACTTGTGGAATTGTTTTTGAATAACTTCTTCACACAGTACTTTCTAATCTAATGTTGATCCTTTAAATTACTATTCTGCATTCAGATACAAGTCAAATTTCACTCAATATTGCCAGCAACTTGTAAGTAACTACATTAATTTGTGTCTCCCTTTACCCATCCCAAGAATTCCACTGCAAATTTGCCCGAGTGTCTGTCTTCTGGCTGCTCTGCATGCCTAAGCCAGGCCAGGATAACTTGTCAAATGACAGTTCTGCATCTGTGCAGCTCTCCAACCCTGTGTGTCAAATGCTGACACCCACAGCGGCTCTGGGAGAGGCTGTAAAGGCAGGCTATGAATGCAATGTAGTACTAAAACTTCTTCTTACATATGCCGACAAGATGCGGCTGAGTCCTGGGTAGCAGCCCAGAAAGCTCCAGCATCCAGCCCTTCAGTTTGGTCCTGCCAGCCGCTGAAGCAACACCTTATCTCAGCTTCTAGTGTCTTGAGCCCTTACTTCCCCAGCCTTGCCTTGTGAAGGAACTATTGTGCTACTGGCCTTTAGCCCTTTGCCTGATTCTGCTTCTTCTGCAGAAGATTCTTCTGTTTCTGTGTTTGTATCTGACTACTTGCCTATTTGTGCCTTGACTGCTGCTCAGGCGTTCCTCTTGGAACATGCCCTCTTGCCTGCTAATTCAGTGCTTGACAATTTGCCTGTTTACTTTCTTGCCATTGGATTTACCCCTCAATTGGTTTAAAGTGGAGCCTGACCCGGCCTACATGGATGGAGTGCCCATCTCATAGGTTTGTTGTGTTCTTACCCTTTGAATAACATAGTGCTCAACAGATCCTTAGCTTCGTAATTATAGGTGACAATGCTTAGTGAGCCAACCCTGCAGTTATTAATTTATTATTTTTGAATGTCTGCAGACGTAGTTGAATACTTTCCAGACAGACAAATGGCCTAATAACCTTTTGACCTGTCCACATGTTTATTTGAAAAGTCTAACACAGCTTTGGATAATCTGTTAGCACATTCCCTATGATCTCAAGCAGGGGTGGCCATCTTTTTGTGTGTCGCTGATGAGTAATCTGTCAGGGCCCCATATTGGCAGTGAGTGGGGATGAAGCCAGCAGTAAAGCGTATCAAAGTCAGAAGTGGGTGGATCAGCCTTTTTCTCCTTCTGTCACCCACTTTCACTCTCTCATTCCCTCTTCTTTCCTATGCAGTGTGGCTGCCACTTTTGCAATTTGAACTGATTGCATGGAGAGGGCTTTTGAAAATATGCTATGGCCACATGCCACCCTCGGGGCCAAAGGCTGTCTATTCCTGATCTAGAGGAATGCATGTTTTATCAAATTACAGCACAAAATTTGAAGAGTAGTGTTTCTGCCAATAGGACTCCAATAAGCACCTCTGCCCCTTGTTCCTAACAATCAAGAAGAAAAGGCATTGGAGAGTGTCCCAAATGCACCTGCTAGCTTTCTTTTTCAGTCTTCCATAAGTGTGCACATTCCAAAGTCTGTGGCTATGAAATTTGCACAATTTCTTCCTCTTCTTTACTGCTCTACCATGAAATGTACATACATATACCAATCCCACTTACTGTTCATGGAGCAAGAGTCCTCTCACTTGTCTGACTTGAAATTTGCATACCTTTACAGATTCCCCTCACTCCCTGCTCTGCCCATATATCTGACAACCCACAATGGAAACCCACAGAGGGAAGAGATAAGTATGAAGGAGACAATGGGGGAGAGGTGAAAGCAGTTGGCAGCTTCAGAAGAAGCTTTTCCAGAGGATATAATGATGCAACACAAAGCATCCTTTTAAAAAAAAAGGATGTCTGAAGGCAAGACAAACACTAAAGTGGAAGATAAAATTGACATGGATCTTGATAAATGGAAGATCCATGCAAGGAAGCAACTTGATAAAAGGAAGATTCTCATATGCTGGGCTAAACAGAAGGCAGGTGGTTATGAATTCTTGCACAAGACCTCAGGAAAAAGTGTCCACAAGGACTCTGAAAATTAATTCAACTTGGTGATCTGATGGAGTGGCGGAGGGAATTTCCTTTGATAGCTGGCAATTACCAATTGCTGTTGTACAGACAGTGGAAATGAGCTCTGTGTCAAAGGCACCTGGGAGACTGATGGGGGAAACAAGCCACAGAAAGCTGCAGAATATTTGATCATCTGTTGGGTTAGTGAACAACCAACCAACCCATGGTTGCTTACTCACAGGGTAGCTTAGCATGATGTGCAACCTCACCCATTAAGATCCTCTCAGGGCAATCTGGGTAAGATCTCAGTTGCTTAGTCTTAGCTTGGTGCTTGATGGATGTTTCAGTAACAACTTCCAGTGCTATCTAACTCTAGATAATAATGTGCCATTATAGATTGTTAACAATATGGGAGATGGGTGGAAAGATTTTTGTGAACTCATTAAGAAGAGGAATTAGTCTTTCCTTTCACACAGTCCCTTCTTTTCTGTAACTGCCACTCTTTCTTTTCTTTTCTGTTTCTTTAATTTTTCATCCAAATGATGTTGCTGTAGGCAAGTGTTTTCAGTATTTTTTTCCAGTACTGACTTGTGACTTCTTTGTTAAAAAATGCAGCTGCAGCAGTTCTGCAATTGCAGCATTGTTGGTTGTGTACTGGTAAACTGTGTTTAGTGCCTTCCAGGACTTTTGTGCCTTTAAGTTAAGCTCTTGTTTGCAGGCTCAGCCAATTTCGTTAGATCGATTCCAGCTTGAGGTGGTGGTTATTTAATGTTATTTATATACTGCCATGTAACAAAATCTTCTCAGAAAAGCTCACTCAGTAAAACAGGTTAAAAACAAATAATACACTAAATAAGTAAAAGGCCTTAGAATCAAATCACAATAATAAAAGTCCAGAATACCTGGGGGAAGAGAAATGTCTTTGCCTGACACTGAACAATTAACCAGAGTGAATGCCAGGTGAACCCCGCTGAAGAAGGCTTTCCATAAATGGTGCATCAAAATGGAGAAGACCTGCAGTCTCCAAATCAGACAGCTAATCCTGAAGGATACTATGGTCTTGGTACTGAAAGCTTCTGAGAGGTCAAGAGCACCAACATGACTGTGCTACTCAGCTAAGGTCATCCACCAAGATCACTGTGGCCCAAGTTTCTGTCGCAAACCTGAGCCAATGCCAAACCAAAACAGATCTAAAAATTAACTTCATCCAAGAGTGCTCAATCAGCAACTATATGTTCATGCACCTTGTCCAAGAAAAGATATTAGCAACTCAGTCTACAGTTATCTCCCACTTCTGGGTCTTGTTTAGGTTTCTTCAGGAGTGATCAGTATAGCCTTTTTCAAAGAGACTGGCGCCACTTCCCATCTCCTCAACCTAACCAGCCATCTTCTCCTTATGTAACAAGATGGGCAAGGATTGCCCATCCAAGTGTTCCAAGCACCTTGAATGCCTCCTGTTTACCTTGCGTGCAACCTTGGGCATTGGCATGATAGGTTAATATGAAGAACCCCTGGAAAAACTAAGGCCAGAGCCATGAATGGACAAAACAATCAGAAGAATGCTTCTTTCAAATCAAAGTCTTATACAGATCTTCTTTGGGCCACCACACCAAAGAATTTTGGGTTCATTTTTATTATGGTGCAGTTGAAGTATCATGTGCTGAAGCTGTACATAATTTTCAATATATCATTTCACTACACAGCAAAAATGCTACTTTTCCATACCAAACTGAAATTGTTTTCCCAAACCAAAATTCACTACAACCTTGCTAAGTTCACTTCTGCAAACTTTTTTTGAGATGCACTGGAGATGCATGAAAATAGCTGCTTATCTGACAGCCAATGGAGGCTGATTTCATGTTCAAAACAAGCCTGAGCTGGTTCAAAATGCTATCTCATGCATTTGAGGTGTTAAATCAGCCTCTTCCAACACAGACAAGAATCAGAGAAATGGCCTCACCTTGTTCCTTCCTTCCACAAACTCTGTCCAGGTGTCAATACTCTCAATGGGATTCACAGCATCCAGCTGTGATACATCCTTCCAGTCCTTACATTCAGGCATCCGGTCCCGCTGATGTCGTCTTACAGCCCTCCTCCTGCTACTGTTTACTCAGAAGCCATGATGGAGGAGGAGGAGGAGGAGAGAAACAGAGAAACAGGAGATCTTGTAAGTGGAGGATGCAGCTATTGAGAAGGGTGAAGGACAAGCAGACAGTGCTGCATATAATATAATTATCAGGGAAAAGGGTAATTGAAGTGGTAGTAAAGACATCATAGAAGTTTATAAAATCATTCCTGATCTGGAGATTGCTTTCTCCTTCTTCAATGATATTAAAACTCAGGGTCATTAGGTGAGACTGACTGGTAGCAGGAGAGTCAGAATAGATAAATGAGATCTTCCTTTGCACAAGCACATGTATGTAATTTACTTGGTAAGATGTGATAATGGCTGCAAACACAGCCAGCTTTTAAAGTGTGTTGACGCATTCATGAAGCATTGACCTCCGGATAGTGCCCACTTTTGATGTCATTCTGGAACTGTCATGCTTAGGGGCAGTGTGCCACTGGGTGCCACTTTCTCGAGAACAAAAGCAGGAAAGGGCTATTGTCTTTTTGTCCTGCTGATGGGCTTCTCTGAGGCATTCAGTTGGCCACTCCAGGAAGTAGAAGGCTTTGCCACATGGACTATTCGTGCCATCTATTTATTGATTGATTTATATCCTGCCTTTTTCCTACAAAGGGCTCAAGGCAGCTTACATCATTCCCCTCCTCCATCTTATCCCACAACAACAACCCTGTGAGGTAGGTTGGGCTGAGAGTCTGTGACTGGCCCAAAGTCACCCAGTTGGCTCCATGGCTGAGTGGGGACTAGAACCCTCAGAGTCCCAGCCCCATGCTCTTAACCACTACACCACACTGGCTTTCCACACTGGCTCTTATAGGAGGAATCTGAGCATCTTGTACAGAGAAGCAAAGAGCACAGGTGTAACAGGCAAGAGTCTTTCTTGTGGGTAAGAGTAGCATGTTTCTAACATGAGTACTCCTTCTGACCCCGTTCAAGAATAGAGAGGTTAGACAAGCTTCTCTAAAGGTGAAGAATGGGCATAACTTTACTGCATAAGTGTCCTGTAGCTAGGGTGAAAATTTGCTTTAAAAACAGGAAATCATGATGAAGCCTCTTGCGTCCTCTGGAGCTGGGATAAGCAGAAACATTGTGGCCTTGGAAGACAGTGCTCATAATTCACCAACTCCTCTTCCTCCTGACAGGGCCACAAAGCATTCTAATGGGACTGGAAATGCTCTAGTTTCCTCAACCAGTCAAACAGCACATTTATGGCATCAGTATTTTTACAGACACCCCGCTTCCTTTAGAGTCCCTGTCACATTCCTCTCTACCTTGGCGGCCTCTTTCTATCTTTCTGTCTCAGTAATAATAATGGACTTTCTCTGTCAAATGTCCTCGGTGGAGGAAGAGGGTGCAGTTCCACCCCCACACATTAACCCTCTTGACAGAAGTCCTACGATTGCCCTTGTTTTTCAGCATATTCCACCTTAAGCAGCATTTTGTCTGGTGGAAAGGAGGAGCAGAAACAAACATGTACCCATGTATTGGGGGGTGCGGTGGGTGGGTGTTGACATACTGTTCTAGTAAGTGATAAAGGCAATGAATCACATTTTCAGAAACTTTACCTTACTCTCACATAGATCTTCTGAGTCTATTTCTTTTAAGTGGCGATGCCACAATTTCCTAACTTGTAATTTTCTGCCAGCTGCATACAACTTATGCAGCAAAACAAACCAGACACCTCATAAAATTGCCAGTGCAGTAATTTCTGCTTGCATTGTTCCTGTACAGACAGGAGGTTTCTGTTCTTTCTGCCATTTCATGATCAGAACGGAAAACATTTTAGAGGACAGTAAAACTCTGTAGCAGTACAAATGGCAGCAGGCACAATTAGCATAGCAGCACCTGGTTTCCTGGATTCGATAAAGATGGCTGAAAAGGCTACTTATTAATAGCTTATTCCTCATACTGAAGCATCACTTCCACTGCTCAGTCTGAACAACAGCTGAGCTGAGCCCATTTCTCAAACTGCTTGTTTGGCCTAGGCCATCTTGTTTGTATTTGCATCTCAATTCTGAATTAAGCTGGATCTACAGACTAACAAGAAGTCAATCCTAGATCAGCCTAGACATGAGATGCAGGAGATACAGGGCTGGCTAAAAAGTAATATCCTTCCACATTTTCAATAGCTACAAAAATAGCCCAAAAGCCATGACTTGGACTAAAAAATGAAATGCTGTAGCAAGGCAGTGTGCCATTTTTCAGATTTAATACCTGCCCCCAAAGGTGCTGTTTTTCCCCTTGGGGCAAGTCACAGTGATACAAATATGGTGCCTCTATATTTCCCTCCCACCCATTACCTCTCAGAAAATGGTAACTTCAGAGGCAAAGGGGGAATTGAAATCCATAGCACAGCATCACAACTCTAATCCGTATCAGAGGCATCTGAGGCGGCTTTATTTTTCAAAAGCACTCCAGGATGATCTAATTCAGCCTTCTCCAACACGGTGCCTTACAGGACGACTCTGGGAATTGTAGTCTACTTCATCCAGGGGGCACCAGGTTAGGGATGGCTGCTTTGCTTCATGGAAATGTGCAGGCTAGCCGTTTCCAGGTCACGTCTAGTCTGCACGTGAGCCAGCAGTTCAGACCGGTCCTTCTGCAGCCACAGAAATGTCATGAAAGTGTGGACAAGCCCAACCAGATAATCCCATGCAGGCTATTTCAGCAGCACACACTATCATCACAAGAAGTCTGCTTTTGGTGCACAGCCTTGTATTGCTCATGAGGAGTCTAACATACAGAGGAAAGCTGCCACTTCTCTCATGCCTGTATGATGGAAAGTATTATTTAGGCCAAACTTCCTGTTCTTCTGCAGCTGAAAAGTGCTGGCATAAAATTCAACTTCATAATTCATCTCATAAAAATGAGCTAAAAATTGATGCAGTTGGACCACCAGCTGCACTTTGATCTAAAAACATTGCCCCAACTTTGCCTGTTTTGTATCTCTTGTTTTCTGAGAATAAGGGAGCAATGCCAGCATATTATAAAGAATGAGTTGCTTCTTACTGCGCCTTTTATTTAAATGAGCAGACTGCCCTATGAACCTGGCCAACATTCTCATTTCCCCCTGAGCAGGACAAGGTACCGAGACCGGTATTCTGCATGGCATATACCACAGAGACAAGCAGCTTTCCCCAAATGCTCTCCAAAAAGACTGTGCTGTTGTGCAGGAAAAATCTCCCGGGATATGCAAGAAGCCACACAGCTTGTTGTGCAAAGACAGGAGCCACATGATCATGTGATGTAGTTTAGAGTGTCCTCCATATGCTCTGAATATGGTAAGCATATCCTATGAAATGCCTTGAGACAGCCTTCCCCAACCTGGTGCTCTCCAACACCAACTCTCAGCACGGGCCATGCTGTCTGACTGATGGCAGCTGAAGGGCCAGGCCTCTAGAGGTCTCCAGGCTGGGTTAGTCTGGCTTTAAGAGCCACACTAATGCCATGTTAGGAATTCAGCAGAGAGCTGAGGAGGAAAGCCACTTACAGGCTGTGCCGGGGGAACATCCGGCAGGGTGTCCAAGGCCTCCACTGCCACTGAATTTTTTCTGGTGCTGGAATGCCATAGACAGTGCAGGTAAGCAGTTGCCGGCTCTTACGAGAATAAATATTTGGTGAAGATGCTTCCTTCTCATGGATTTGTGGAGGAACTGTAATCAAAGGAATGTGAAAGTATCACTCTCAATTATGATTATACTGAAATGAATATCTGCACTGCTTTCTCTGCCAATCCTATATCCACACATGCCATTCTACCATCTCCTCCCCTCCCTCCATGACTTCAATCTGCTGCTAGTAATTATCCTTCTTCCTTTCCACTGGAGAATCATTCCAGGTAACAGCAACTTCCTAAGGGGAATGGGAGAAACATGGTTGCAGTTTTCATAGTGCTCCCTGCTGCTAAATAGGGCTTATTGGGTTTCCCCTGCTGACATTGCTGCAAAATATTATTTTGAGAATGAGAGCACCTGTTTCTTGCTGCAACTGAGGAAGCAACTACTAATGTACCAGGTGGCAACATATACTTATCTGGCAGCTATAGTTTTAAAAATTAGCCACTGAATCGTGTTGGGTAAAGTGATCGGAGATACAGGTACTGGAGTTATATGTATGTTTAAAGCAGTTTTCCCCAACCTGGTACCATCATGTGTGCTGGACTTCAGTGACTATCATCCCTGGTCCGCAAGGCCACTGATGATGGGAGCTGTAGTTTGGCAGAGGATGAAACTTCTGATGACCCAACTTGGGCTGCGCAGAAACCTCACAAAGGAGGGAAGGATGGAGGAGAGTCGAACTCTCCCTCTCAGTTGTGTTCTTACTGCAGTCACATTTTTAGCCACTTTTTTGTTGTAAAGCAACCCTACTAAGAGAGAGCTTCTCAGTCAGAATTGGGGGGTTTTTTTTGCATATTTTTATTTATTTATACTGTATTTATTTCCAGCAGTTAATTAATTAATTGATTGATAGGTTAAATATATTAGAGATCGAACTGCAGATCCAGCCTTGCCAGTCAGTGGGTAAGTGTTCTTGAAAAGCCACCAAAAGTGGTCTTGGGGCACAACAACACATTGATTGTGGCATATGGCTGCATGGGCCAAAGCCTCAGTGCCAGATGCCTGGAAAATAGGCTGATTGTGTTCCTGGTTTCCTTTACCTCACATGCACATTTGACAGCCACCTGGGGCAGCACTTTTGAAGGGATGCGCCCTATACTGGAAGCGGCATACAAGTCCAGGCAGTCACGTTACTGCTGGCATCACTGGCTCCCTGTGTGATCTGACTACAACCTAGAATCCCCCATGGTGCAGGGGTTCACTCCTGGTTTTCCAGAGACTTACTGCTCTTGTCCTTCTTCCAACAAGGAATGGGGTTATCCAGTCCAACCTTACCAGAACCCTGTGAGGAGGTTAGGCTAAGGGCAGAACTAGATGTTACAAGAGCAACAAAGCTTCACTAGTCTGTGTCTCTGTCAGGGCCAACCTTACCATCAGGCACAATAGCAGCAGATGCCAGGAGCGTGGTCCCTGGTGCTGGAGGGTGGACCTGTCTGCTCTGTGGGGTCTGCATTACCACCAGTGTCCAACTAGATTCCACAGCCAGCCCAATACACATCAGCTTGTGCTTTCTGCAGGCAGCCCAGGGGTTTGGAGCAGCCCTGCCTGCCAGCCCTTGCTTCCTGCAACAGGCACGGCAAGGGAATGTGTGACACAGCATCTCCCCATGGCTGCCAGGCAGTGGGAGGAGGTACTGGCAGGAAGACGTGCAGCACTCCAGTGATGCCTCACGTGTTGTACTGTTGTAGTCACTGCGAGGGAGCAGGACCAAGAGACACGCAGTGGTGGCCGCTGCACGTCTCTGACGACGTTTATTTCTCCCAGAAGACACGGCAAGTGCAGCTGCATGACTTAAGAGGGATTCCAACCCATGTTCCTCCAGTCCAAACTGGCACTCTATTGCTCCCCTGCTCAGCAATGAAACCAATGATCCTTAATCTTGCTCCAAGTACATTCAGTTATATGTATGTTTTTCTTGCTGTTACAGAAGGAAGGAGAGAAACCAAGCCCAGGGTTGCTCTCTAGGTACGAGGTTATCCACACGGATTGGCCTTGCATGGTTGAGAGGGGAGGGGCTTTAGCCCACTGGCCCCACCATCACAGCCCCAGCTGGAACGCAGCTTCCTCTTGCGTGCTCCTGCTACCTGTGTGGGCTTCCCTCCAGTCGTCAGTCCCCGCCCACAGGCAAGCAAGTGGTGAAAGCCCCCTCCTTGCTGCCCTGCCCTAATCCAGTCCAGCTGCCCCACATCCGCCGTCTGCTGAGAAGCGGCCGCCAAGCAAGGCCGAGCAGCATGAACCACGTCCTGTCTAGTTTCGTTCTGTTTCAAACATGTTTTGATATGACTCCGTTGTGGACAAATGGCTGTCAAGTTGCCGAGTGCCGCAGGGCCTTCCCTGCCTTGCAGCCTCCTTACCGTTGACCACCAGCTGGAGGCTGATGCTCTTCTCCAGTCCAGCCTGCCCATTCCTCAGAACCAATTTGTAAGAGCCAGCATTCTGCTCCACTACGTCCTTGATCTGCAGAGAATATTGAGATTGCCTGCTGGAGATTAACCTCCCATCCTTAAACCTGGCAGAAGCAGAGAAAGAGGCGATGTGTATGGATTAGCACATTCCTTTGGAAAGAGCTTTGGCCAATGTGGTGAGGCACATCTTGAAGGAAGGCTCACTTGTTAATAGTCCCCTAGGAAAAGCTTACTGCAGCCTTCCTCAAGCTAGCACCTTCCAGATATTCGACTTCTGCTTCCACCAGCCCCAGCCAGCATGGCCAATGGTCGGGGATTCTAGGAGTTGTACTACAGCACATCTGGAAGCCACCAGGGTGGGTGGAGGCAAAGATGTACATGCTGGATTTACTGGCCAGAAGAAAAGCATGCCAAAAATCACCCCTGGAAATGTTTAGACATTTTACCTATGCTGATCCACTGCCAATTGAGTGTGTAAGGGAGTGAATTTAAGGGTTCATAGTTGTTCTTATTTTCAAACCCAATGTACACAAAAAGAAACTGTTTGATCAGAATGATATTGGCATATCTGCCCTGAACTGGTTTAGTTGTTATCCTCTCTGGCTAGAGAAGAAGAGTCGAAAGTCCAGGCCAGAACATTTGCTCCCTTAATAGCAGATTCCATGACTTTCTTTCAGTCAGAAGAGCCTCACCCATCTGAAAGTACAGCAGGTGTTACACAGCCATGGGGAATGCAAAACAGCACTTGTGTGTGGGTGGATAACGTGTATGTGTTTGGCAACAGAGCTAATGATGCGGGAGATCTCTTCGCCCTGTGTCTAATGTCTTCCAGAAATCTGGAAGAAGCAGCAAAATGGATGAGGAAGAATTTTTATGCCTCTTGTGAATGCAGTAGCACATTTCTCTGCACCAGAAGATACTGGCTAATGAGGTGAGCTTAAAAACCTTAGCAGTCAACATAAATTGCTCAGGTCTGGAAACAGGCCTATGAAGCCAACTTTTCCCGTTGCAGAGGGGTGGCCTCTCTTCCCTCAAAAATAGATTTCAGTGACATCCTTCTTAATGAGAGTGGTCTTTCCCCTCCCCCCTCCCCTGCAATACAAAGGGTAGAGGTCTGAGTGCCAAGAGGAATGCATTACCACTGGAACTCAGGCTGTGGGTAGGCAACCACTTTCACTGGCAGCTTCACCACTTCATCTCCTGCAGTGGCTTCGATCACAGGACCCTTTTTCCACTCCACATTGATGAAGGGTTTCTCTGTAAAACCAGGCAGATAAGGTGGGGGTGGGGTGGAGAGAAAAGCTGAATGAAAGCTGTTAAATGAGCAGGCTGGGAAAGCAATGGAGGATGGAGACACCATTCATTCATACTTTGCAAAAATAAATAGCACTTATGCACAGGCACCCATTAAATACTGGATTCATGTACATTTGCCTTTCTACAGACATAAGAACAGTCAGAGAGATGAGAACAACTCACATTTTAAGCCATAAAGACACAGAGTAATTTCTTACATGTTAAGGAGCCTAATTCAGTAAACAATGTTCCACGGGACAAGAATTTTGCCAGAATTATCTCAGCCCAAGCAAATTTCTTGCCTTGTGTCTCTGAGGTTTGGATCCAAGTTCTGTCTTCTCTGTGAGAAGGGACTTCTGTGAGAGGGAGGTCTCCACTTTGGAACTTTGGGGATGCCCTCCCTTCTACACCAAGGTCCCCTGACTATGCGTAGCATTTTCAGGAGACATTGTTGTGGGAAGGAAGGGGTGGGGAAGTCCAATTTCTACTAAGACAGCTGATCCAAGGTAAACCTGGATTCAACCTTAGATCTCTATAGGAGTAAGGAGGCAAAATAAGTAGCCTCACCAATATTATACTTGCCAATCAGTTATACAAGGAATGCCTGCCCTGACTTCTCAGTGGTTGGGTATTTCCATTATAAATCACATGGTCTATATGCTATAAATAATAGCAGGTTTCCTGACCAGTCTAAGTTGTATCATGTCCGTCCACTTCCAAGAGCACTCCTGGCCACTCCATGAAGGACACGGGATCCTAGAAGTGTGCCAGACCACACTTCTAGAAAGCTTGGTGTGCAACGTAACAGAGTCCGTCATGACAGGGGGCACCAGGTGTGGGCAATTAGGATAAGTAGGCAACTTGCGACCAGCATGCACAGGGCAGGAAAATGAGCCACTGTGGGTTCGGTTCCTGTGAACCTGCCCAAAGTCTTGGTATGGCCAGCAGTAAAGGGCAGAAGTGACACCTTCACAGGGTGCTCTTCTCTGCCCCCTTTATCTGGGGATTGCTTCATCGCCGGAGCCTTAGCTGATACGAGCCATGCCGTTCTTTCATTGTCGTTACATTGCTTTCTGCTACATGAAGACACAGCAGCAGCTAAAAGGGTTTTTCACCCTGTATTAATGGTGTTTACCATGTACGATGACATCTATGCTCTCCGTCAAGTCCTGCTCCCCATTGCTGGCCTTGCACGTGTATTTTCCCAGGTCTTGCTGGCTCACATTTTGGATGATCAGGATGCTGGAGAGCTCAGTATGTGTCTGCTGGGACCGCCTCTCTGGCAGTTCTGTGACTTTCCGATTCATCTGCCAGAAAGTGGTGATACGCAGAAAGGATTAAACAGGTAAGATAAAAGGTGAGATTAAGCCACATTTCTCCCCAAACAGTCATTTCTCCCCAAACAGAAATATTTGGCCTTCCTGTTTAAAAGGGAGAAGACAAGAATAACCTTGCCTCAGAATCTGCAGTTCTCACTGGTGTGGCAAACTTGCCTCCATTCAGGACTAAACCGCTTCAAACTGTAGGTGGAAGCTGGCACTGTACTCTTTATGGAATTTTCTGCCATTTTTTCCTTGTAAAAAACTATCATATCGGAGAGAAGGCTCAAGAAGGCATCTCCCTGACACATTAGTTTTTTAATGAGATTTTGTATGGAGAGACTATCAATCTCTATTAAGAGGTACTGCACATGTAAAGAGCTAGCACAGAGGTGGGCAACTTGCAACTCATCCTGGCCATTTTTGGAGCTCTCGCTGCCCCAGGCTGGAGAATTTGCTGTGGTGGCAGTGGCAGAAAAAGGCACAGTTTTGCTTAAAAATAAGGCATGCATAGAGTGTACACCTTGTCTGGAAGCTGAATAGCATTCTCAGAATCTACTGGAAAGTGTGATTCTGCTTCCAAACAAGAGTAACAAATAAAAAAGCAGTCAGCACATACTACACACTACTGCTGTTGATGCATACCTGTTTTGCAGGGTAATCCCACTGGAAATCAACTCCTGAATTAAACTCAGCCCATATTGTGCAGTTAAGAACCAGTTTTTCTCCCACTAATAGCTCCATGGCTTTCCTTGGAAACAGCTGAATGTCATAAAGTTCATTTCCTAACGTAAAAAGTAGTAAGAGAGACAACTGCTTAAAATAAATACAATCCAGTCTTTTCCTTAAGAAAACAGAACTCTTGCTAGAATTGTCCAAAACTGTAAAAATTAAAATAAAACTACCTATCACAGACTCATTGCAATCTATGCCCTCTTCCCTGGATTTGCTTAATTCTTTGGCCATTTGTCTCCGTCACTGTAGTATTCTAGGGCTGGCTGGTCCAACCCACCAGCCTTGAAGCTATCTTATTATTCTAGACTAACAAAAGTCCTACACAATCTAGTGGCCCACAAGCAGAGAACTGAAAAGGTATAGGCAGTCCCCGATTTATGAATGCCCAAGTTAAAAACAACCTGTACTTACGAATGAACTGTGGTAGAGCCTATTAATTTTTAGAAAAATACTGTGCAAATCTGTTATTACATTGAAAGAAAGGAAGCTAAAGGGAAGAGAGGGAAGCCTCCAAAGAAGGCCTTCTTGCCCCACCCATACAGAGAGGGAAATCTCTCTGGCATTTCCTTGGTGCAAAGAGGAAACACTGGTGAGTTTGGGCGGATGGGTGGGTGGGGCTAAAGATATTCATAGTTTTTCCACTTTCGTGGGGGTCCTGCGCCCCTAACCCCTGTAAATGTGAAGGGACAATTATAAGTGACCTGGCTTACACACAAATTCAATTTAAAGACGAAGAATGGAACTCATTCATAACCCAGGGACTGCCTGTATACTATAGAGGTGGTCAACTTGTAGCTCTCCAGATATGTGGCCCTACAGTTTCCATCATGCCTCACCACTGGTTGCCCTGGCTAGCGCTTATGAGAGCAGTCGGTCAAAAGCACCCCTGCTGTACTGCATAAAAATATGCCTTCTGGACCAGAAATATGCCTCATAAGATGTACCTATTCGATAGAGAAATGAATGAATGCAAGGATATTCGATGGAAAGATAGAATCTGAGGCTATATTTGCCCACAGACTTGACTAACTTCTCTTCTCTTCTAATTTCATTTCACTTGATTCAATTTAATACAGAAATGGTTTCTTTCTCTTTGTACCAACTGCCTACTCTTGAAATTGCATGAGCACTTTTGTTTTTGATATTTAAAATGACAACTACATCTCTCAACCAAAGGTGAAAAGATCTTCCAGTTTGGACAAGTGGCAGGGCAGCGGTGCATGCTCAACTCTCCTGTTCCTTTAGCATCTCCCACCTACGCACCTACAGGAAACATGCTCAATTACAAAGGAGACAAAGAGGAAAAATTGCTAAGAGCTAAGATCCTTTAAAGATTTTTTTTCTTGCAGGAAGAAACCAAGAAATGGAGCTCAAACAACACTTAAAGGAGATTTATCATCCACACTGAAATCAGGAACATGGCAACTAAAGCCTAATGTATGAAAATACTCTGTTTGTTGCTGATGTGGCAAAAAGATCTGAAGGGGGGGGGGACAAATATAATGAAAAATAAACCTTCTTGCCATAATATATTTTACATTTACATTACAAAAACACTGAAGATTCTAACATTTGTTAGATCAAAGGAATGATCACCAAACACACAAAAGCCAGTGTGGTTTAGTGGCTAAAAGTGTTGGAGTGTGACACAGGGGATGCAGGTCGAGTCCCCACTTGGCCATGAAACTCAATGGAAGATGCTGGGCCAGTTGCTAACGCTCAGACTACTCCACATGGTTGTTGTTATAAGGATAAAATGGAGAGGACGAGAGCCTTGTAAGTTCCTTTGGATTGCTTGCATGAGGAAGGAGGGCAGGACATAAATGTAGCATAATAATATTTTTGTGACTTTTAGCTGGTTTTACACAAGATATTATAATTTTTGGATTTGTTGTTGGTTTATGGCCAACATGGCTGCACGTGCTTTATTTTTCTCTGTGATTTTGAAGCACAATCCATTTTGAGACTCAAGTCTGAAAATGGTTTTATATCCCATAAATATTGACTGACTGAATATATTTCTTAGCTGTCTTTCAAGACTGTGGTCCTCCCACAGTGGCTTAAATTATAAAGCAGTAAGACTCAATGTAAAGCTATTAGTACACTTTGAAATGTTAACAGTTTTAAAATAAGCTAGTTAAAACAAAATACAATCTCAATTGTTTAGCAGTAGCAAATACCACAACACTTTTTCAAATAAATTTCCATGAAAAAGATGTATTTTAAAATGTCTCTTGAGAGGTCCCTTAGCCACAGATGGAGTCAGCTATGTGTATCTCTTGGAATGAAATTCCTTGAAGTAGGCCCACAGTGGAGAAGGTCTTCTCTCACTAGTGCTGGCCAGTCAATTTCATACTGACCAACTCTATTCTGAAGCTCACCTGCAATATGGACAAGGAAGAAACTGGATTTGAAGGGTTTTTTATCGATGACAGTTTCACACTGAACAAATAGGGAGTCCTTGATCAGTAGGGTAGGAACCAACATTCCTCTTTTGTTATCCCAGAAAATGCTCTTCCCATCTGGATAGATGGCAGAGGTTGTCTAGAAACAAAACAAAAAATTTGGAAAAACACTTTTTAGAAATGCATGGTGATATCACTACTTCTCCATCCTCTATTACTTCCAAGGGTTTCTCAGGGTCAGTTACAATGTAATGTTTCAGATCCACTGAAAAGAGAAACGAACAAAAACCATCATGTTATGGTATGTTATCACAGACATTTGCTTGGTTTTTCTTCATAAGTTTCCAGACAGCTCTGTACATAAATCCCATTGACAATCTGCTTTCAAATGGACTGTTTTCATACAATTATTTTAATTCTGGAGGGCCTCCATGTGGGAAGAATGCAGGAATAGCAGTGGAAAGGATATAGAATATGGTTTATTCTGTCCAGAAAGCCCCCACTAATTCCTGAGCAGAAAGGTAAATGTGTGAGCCTAGGAACTACTGTTTTCCTGAGACATGGAATTTGCAGGATATAAACTTGGTTTTGGCCATCCAAGAGTAACATTTTCATTTGCATTTGATGGGAAGATCAGATGCAGCAGTATGCCCTGGTGAATGGGCCCTTTCTACAGTTTCCTACAACTCCTATCTAGGACTGGTAATCCCCTTAAGAGATAGCAATGCCTGGAATTTAACCAAATGCAATTTCATCCTAAGAAGTGTTCAGGCTGTACAACATGAATGTAACAAATGTGTTTCCAAACACATTCATGGGGTAGAGAGAAGGTAGATCTCTAGATATTTTAAACTGCAACTCCCAGTATTTCTGACTACTGGCTATGCTGGCAGATGCTTCTGGGAGTTGAAGTCATCTGGAATGTTACCTTCCGGGCACTGCTCATACAAGTACACTTATCAGGGAACAGACTGGTGGCAGCTGCCTATTTGGGTCTGTCTCCACTGCATGGGTGAGAAGCCCTCACCTCCCTGTATGCTGAAAGGGTGTGCAACTTTCAGAACAGTGTAAGTTGCTGTTGATATGCCAGATACAGAACCCTTAGAGAGAACTAAATACGCATAAAATGCTCTTCCTTCCTAGAATTTTCATCCCTTTTCTAGAAGTCATGTATTGTAGTTCATACCACCTCAGGAAAAAAGAAAATATTGCGCAGTAACCCACAGGGATCCAGAAGGCAACAGTTCAAGAGAAAGCAGAGATCAAAATGAAAGGGAAAAAACACAGAAGTTACTGGAAAACATCACTGCAGATATTTTTTCCACAGATCTCAGCTTTAGCAGGTTTTCTTTGAGCTCTGTTTCTCTCTTCCTCTCTGCTCCTCTTCAGGCTGGCAAGATTGAAACAAGGCAAAGTCCAGATCCATTCCAAAGGGAGCCTTCTTACCGAGAGCAATGTGATGTTAAGGTCTGGAATGGATACCAGGCATGGGACGCCGATATTTTCCTTCTTGTAGATAAGAAGAGTCTCTGGTTTATTGATAAATGGCTGTTCAAAATCTGAGAAGAAAAGAAGTGGAGAAAAAAGAAGCAAGGACAATATTATTTTCTTCTTCTTCTAGGTAGTTCTGTGGAGGGCAGGTGCTAAAATCTGCAGCGAACAATTCTGAGCATGACACAAACATAAATCTGAGGCAAAGATGGGAAGCATACGAATATGTCAAACTCTATACATGTCTAGTCCCAGGTAAACGGGTATGGGATTATAGCCTTAGGGTATAATATATGGCATGTGTGCTCAGGAGCAATTCCCATTGAATTCAGTCAAACCTATATCCTTGCAAGGTCATACAGAATTGCAGGCTTATATACCATATCTCTCCTGTACTTCAAAGCCAGAGGTCACCTAAAAAGCAAAGTAAAGGAAATGTTTATCCAGACAAAGCAAGGCTGGTTAGGAAAAGCCCTTTCTAACTAATCCAGGCAGTAGACATGCATACAGGACTTTTTCCTTGGATCAAAACATACCATTTCAATTCATCTGAGTCACTAGCTTGGTTCTCATTTTACATTATGTGTTTTAGTTCATTTTAGTATTGGTCCTAAATCAGTTCAAATAGTCTGCAAACCAGTGTGTTATAATGACCAAGTATTTGGCATGAAAAGGGGAGACCTGGGATCAAACTTTAGTTGTGTGTACATCATGGTGTTGCTGAGTGAATAACAGGATAATCACTCATAGTATCAACCTAAGCTCCTTGGAGGAAGTGCAGGATGCAACAAGAGAAATAAAAGTCTTCATTTGGACACCAACTTTCTTGAACATAGATAACTATGCTTTCTTCTATACTTTATAGAGTTCATAGAAACATAGAACAGAGCGAGTCAGAAGGGATCTCCCGGGCCATCTAGTCTGACCTCCGGCACCAGCTGGCTCCGCTCATGACATGCCCACCATGTGGACATCCAGCCTATCCTTGAACACCCGCACCGATGGGGCCTCCACGACCTCTCGTGGAAGCCCATTCCACACCCTTGGGGTCCTGACTGTCAGGAAGTGCTTCCTGGCATCCAAACGAAACCTTGGCTCCCTGAGCTTTGCTCCGTTGGAGCGCGTTCTGCCTTCCTCTGCAGGGGAGAACAGGTCTCTACCCATCTCCATGTGACATCCCCTCACATACCTGTATGTTGCCAACATATCCCCTCTGAGTCTCCTCTTCTCCAGGCTAAGTTGATCATGACTAAGCAAATCTTATATTCTTATTCGTGGAGTAAAAACAGCATTTAATCTTTGTTTTGTTAGTCCAATCCAGCCTCACTCAACCTAGTGTCATTAAGATATGTTGGACTACAGCTTCCATCATCCCTGTCAACATGGTCAACACATCTGGGAGACATCTGGTTGGAGAAAGCTAGTCTAACCCACTAGCATTCAAGCTTGGGTTGTTCTCTTTTCTGCTATTAAAGGAAATGGTTTTTCTAATATCATTCAAAATATATTCTTCCTTCAGCATATTTAGAATTAAAAATAATCCTGCAGTATAGAATTTTAGAACAGGGAAAAAGAAGTATATGCACCAATTTTCATGGGAGACTAAGCTTGTTTATAAACTATTACTTCTCATATATTTATCATTTCAATGTATATCCCATTTTTCTTCATTAGTACAGAAAGCTACTAATTAATATAAGCAATTAAAAATGACCAGATTGAGCAAAATCAAACAAAAAGAGCTAGAAAGAGACAATGAACATCCATCCAAGAATGAAAAGAAGTACCCTTTGTGACCACTTAAAACAACCAAGGGTGCAATCCTTTGCAAATTTAAACAGAGCATGCTGGGAGTTGTAGGCCCTTTCTCTGTCTAAACTCGCATAGTAGGATTGTGCCTTAAACAGTAAAAAATAATTCAGTTTAGCAAACCTGTCCAAATTTTTAGAATGCCAGTTCAGTGTGCTCTGTGTTTTAGATACAGACGTGCAAGCATTGCAGATTAATGAAAGGGAAGTACTGCACACAGGAGGACAGATGTGTGTTTGATTTCACAGGCATACCAATATAGCCAGATGAAAAGTGTATCTGCACAAAGGTTGCTGTGACATCGGACTCTGGAGAGGATAGCTGAATGGATGGCTTACTCACCGTTTCTTTAAAGGTACCAGAGTTGTTTGTAAACAGGTCAAGGCCTGCCATGATGTAGCCTGATTTGGCTGCATCAGACAACAGAGGGCGAAGTGTGGGAAACTGCATGACTCTCCACCCTAACCATGCCTGGAGAGCCCACCACCGTCTCCTCACTTGGCTCTGGAAAGCCCCATCAACTGCTCTTCTACTGTGGCATCCCCCAGAACAAGAGGATGACTGACAGGGCTCTCTCGAGCTGAGCGCACTGCTAGCTGCCACTTCTCACTAGCTCCCAGCAGATCCTGTGGATGGGTTCAAAGCCACCTGATTCATGATGGCACCCTAACTAAAACTAGCCAGGTGGCAAAAAAGTATTAAAATGAGGAAAGGATTCTAGCTCATCTGTCTTTCCGTTCATTTATCCATACAGTCATCCAGTCTAATCAGCATTATGCTGGTTAACAAGCACTTTGTGCTTACTTTACAAATCCACCCACATAATGAGGTATAGATATGAGGAAATTGTGGCAGATATCCGAGGAAGTCAATGCAGAGATTCTAGATAAATTAGGTATCCCACATTCCCTCGCAAACCACAGCTTATCCAGTTATTACATTTATATTCTGTGATTCCTCTAAAAAGCTGATATCAGCCTACAAGAAAATTATTCCTCCCTTCACTTTTATCCTTACAATAATCCTGTGAAGTACATTAGGCTAAGAAAGAGTAAGCAAGCTTCACGGATGAATAGGTTTTGAATCGAGATCTCCCTGACCCCAGTCTCCAGCTTGAACCACTACACCCACTGGCTTTCCCAGGCCTTCTCCAGAGGCTCATTACATTTAGACATGCCCAGCAAAATCTCCTATTATGCTGCCAGAGAGCAAAACAGAAACCCAGTCTTACGGATTTCACTTGCAGGGTCATGATTGAGACTTGCTTTCATGGGCAGTGTTGTACATCAGCTTCTTTGTTGCTAAATACTCCTGACTAGAGGTTTTGGATTTTATTCCATCTCTTGTGTTTTTATATAAATATTCCTCCAGGATGTATTTGAAGAGCAGCCACAGATGTTCATAGCAAAGACCAAGGGAAGATTAGATTAAGAGAGAACTAACATTCATGTGGGGAAATTCCTGCCAAACTTCTAATGCCTCTGGCTATTGTTATTTTGAGTTTGTTATCGGAGAATGATTTATTTTAAAATACCAGCAACAGTTGCTCAGCTGGCAAACCACAGGGGCTCACTATTAATTGCCCATATTATATTTAGACTGGATCCTAAATATCCCAAGTCCATGATCTACACTAATACCCACATAACTTAAAAGCAATTGCAACTTCCCTTTAAACAGCAACCCAATTCCTTGTTTTCTAAGTGTGTGGCTGCTTCCACCCGAAGGATGTGAGCGCATGTGAGATGGCTGATGGGGAAACATGCTTAAGAGAAAGAGATGATTCATGCTTATATATGTCCGAGAAAGAATAGCTGTGATGGTGCATCAGAAGGCTAAGGTGAAGCTTTGTGTTTGGGGGCTGTGGTGGGGGAGCAGCAAAGCAGAGAACACACAATAATCTACACTCCAGGACGGAGTATGGATTGGGAAAGGGCTGTCATTCAACCATGGTTTGTTCCTGAAAGGTGCCTTACTATGTGGCTTGAACTCAGTTGCACTAGCAAGCCATAGCCTGCTAATCAGGAACAACCCCTGAAAGGAAGCCATTGTGCAGCATTCACCATGGTTCATTATCTCAGCTGGGTTCAGCCAACACAACACAACACAGTTCAGTGACAACCGCCCCTTGAACGTGGGTCATCAGGCTGTCAATGGAGTGATGGTTAGGGAGCTGTGCTTCAGTTGTTACAATGCTAAATTATGAGAAGCAAATACATTTTGCATTGTTGCTTTTTGCACTGTTCCTGCAATAGTGAAAGGAACTCATGCACAACCTTCGAATGCATGCAGGGCTTGCACAGGCTGCCCTTCCTTAAGACTGATACTTGTTGATATTTAAAACTGCCACTAATATAGAAATGAAACGAGGGAACATCATGAATTATGAAGCACGAGGACCAAGTTGAAAGACACTTTTCTCATCATACATTCATTTCAGTAGAAATTCTAGTAAACTCTCATATAGACATATTTTGGTGCAGAGACAGCGCATGCTATGTTGTCATTTTTTGATACTCTCTAACATATGCTGAAAACAGATGCATTTGACCAGCTCAACACAGGCAGGGTGCCAGAACATTCCTAAGAGTCACCATGCACCAGATCAGCCATCTATAAGGTGGTGCCCTTCAGATGTTTTGAATTACACCATCCAGCATTCCTAACAACTGTCCATTTCTAACGACTGACTGCAGCTGATATGGGCCAAAGCGCAAAACATCTGGAAGACACTAGCTTATGGAAGGCTGTACCAGACAATCTTGCCAACAGGGCTTTTACTGCTTTAAAATCACCAAATTATGGAAGCTGGGGAAATGCTGGGGCTGATGGACAGTTTTATGTCCATGCATAGGGCTATGCCTTTACTACTCGTGATTATATAAACAGAGTCGGTAAAATGGGAAAAAATATAACAATTGTTTTTTTCAGATCACATGAACGTAAGTTTTGGAAAGCATCAATAGATTCTTCCAATAAGTTTATTTTTAAAAGATCCAGATAACTGAGGACTAAACTAAATGTTCCTTAATCACTCATAGCTGAGTTTTGTGTGGTTGTTCCCCCTCTCTAAGCGTACACAGCCCTGATCTGGACTGGGAACATGGTGCTTTGGAGGCGGATGGTTTAAGCTGCCACTCCCACATTTTCATGTTGAAATTTCAACCCTCTTCCAACGCAGGTGATGATTTAAAAAATGGTCATTGGAAACAATGGAGACTTTTCCCTTTTTTTAAACCCCCTCAATGGAAGGGTGGAATTTTGGGATGAAAAATGTGGGGAGGTAACTTAACCCAGGCTCCTAATTTGTGTATGCTTTCAGGAGAGATGGGGAAACAATCAGTTTAACAATGTGTAGATAAAGGAGCACTTAGTTTGGCTGTAATATGGGGGCATTTTCACAAACAGAAAAAGGACACAGTAGTAAAGCCTTATTAAAACATTACAAGTCTTTAACTCAATCTCATACAGAGTCACACATCTGAGATAAAAAGTTCTTGATCAGATCCCTAGTGGGTTGGCAGGCTTTCCTAATTTTAAATTTGAATTTCCCTTGACTGAAAGCTCATTAGATAGGTAAATTCTTTTTAAAGCAGAATGCTGTATGTTAAGACTTAGCATATTGGCAAAAACTGAGGGAGCTGGAAGCTCTAAATCTATCTCAAATTAAAATTCAGGTGTAAAGGCATAACAATATATGAATGGGGAGAAGATAGTCGGCATCCACTTCTAGCACTATATTTAGCAATACATCTGTTATCTTTCCCTGCTTTGGTTTTATTCAAACCAGGTCCTACATTTCACCCTTCTCTCTCAAACAATGGATTTAATTTCTTTTTTAAAAATACAATGATTAGCCAGGGCCACCATGGTAGGGTAGGGTAGAGGGTGCTGTGGAAGTGAAAATGTCTGCATTCCAGTCCAACCAAAACATTCACTCCAGGCACCAATGTAATTGAATCCCCCAGACAGAGCAACCCCACATAAGAGGATGAACACTGATTTGTTCTCAGCAGGAGGGGGCTTGACACCCATACGCTTCACAATTCCTCTGGATTTAATCAGCCCCCGTGCAATGAGGGAGGGAACCAGCATGCATGCACAGAGAAACACTTGGAAAGCATGAAGGAGGAACTCCACTCAGACCAGGTGTTGTGGGGAGGAAAAAACACCCCATGCAGTCTCTGACGTTCAGAGATGTGTATAATTGTGGCAGGGCAGCCTTCTTTTTAAACTTTCTCTTATATTTATATCCTCAGCATAATCAGCAGCCTCTAACGCTTTGCTACCATCCAGTCCCATGGTTTCTAATGCCCAGGGCACAGGAAGACCTAGAGCAGCTTAGGGACGCAAAGCTGAGAGTCTTCTCTTGGTCCATTTGGTAATGAGTTGGATGATGCTCAGGCTGAATCCTGACAAGATGCAGGCACGATGGGGAACCAGTTCTTGGGTTTGGGACAAAGGTACTCAAACTGTTCTGCATGAGATTGCACTGCCTCTGAAAGAAGAGGTTTGCAGCTTCCAAGTACTGCTAAAGGCAGCTTTGTCATTACAGGTCTTTTAGAGACCTTGGAGCCCTGGAGCACCTTTCACCAGCTTCAACTCATCCTCCAAGGATATTCTGTATGGAAATATGTACATATGCACTTCTATATTGCCCCATAGCTGAAATTATCTGAACAGTTTACAACAGCACCCACAGTTTAATAATGCCGACCACTTGCATGGATTATTGCAATGCTTCATACATGAAAGTGCTCTTAAAGATGACTAGCAAGTTCCAATTAGTGCAGATTTAGGTTGCCATAATTTTAACAGTTGCTGCCAGGTTGGTTCACATTATTCCCATTTTAAAAGAACTGCTTTGATTCATCTTTCTTTCCAGGTCCAATTCAAGTTTCTGGTACTTTTTTAATGCTCTAAATGGCTTGGAAGTCAAAAGAGTTAACCTAGTACTTAATAGGCAACCATTTTTCATATCAGGTTAAAACTTATCTTTTTCTTTAGGTATTTTAATGTGTATAACCATAATGTGTATAACCATGTATTCTTTTATAACTGAAAGTTATTTAATTTCATTTCTATACTGCCCAATAACTAAAGCTCTTTGGGGTTTACAGCAAATCATAATTGATTTCTTTTTGTTGTCTTTTATAATGGCTGATGGATATTAATTTTAATGTACTAATTTAACTTATATATACTGTGTGCTGCCCTGGAACTTCATGTGATAAAGGTGGTAAAGAAATATTTTATATAAATAAACTAAAAATAAACACAAGAACCCATTAAATATGATATATCTATAAAGGCAGCATAGCAGTTCTGAGCGTCAGTGCCTCATTGAACACAATAGGACTTAATTCCAAGTAAACAAGCACAGAATTGCGCTACAAATGACTAAGTCCTCTGGCTGTGCAGGTGGTGCTTCTCTCAACACTATACATCTATCTGAGGCATAAATGTGTTCTTACATTGCAACAAGACTTTTTCCCAGGTATGTGTGTATACAATTGCTTCCTTAGTGTCTTTCCAGGTCAGCATATGCAGCCATATTAGAATATGCAGTTAAAATACTTCTAGTTTACCCAGACAATCGGGTACCCTTTTCTCAGCATGGTGGAATAGGAGAATAGCAACAGCACTGCATGCTGAGCAGTGCCATAATGGAGTATGTCAGGATAGAGGAAGGCTGGTCAAATTGCACATTGCTCGGCAAATGGTTCGAGCCTGTGTTGTTACTGTTTCTTTTTTGAAAGGTAAATTCACCTCTCTTCCTTTGCAATAAATTCTAGCTCCATATAGCTTTCTCATTCAATCAACCCACTATCAGATAGAGAATGACAATAACATTCCAAAAGGCTGTAATACAATGCGGCCCATGAAGCACTTTCATTTGGAGTTTAACCTGTTTTTGCTGTGCAGGTTATTTCCCTTCTTACCTCTCACAAAGACATAGGTGCTGACTGCAGTGGTGCCCTCAATTTTGGCATTGATATACTTGTAGTAACAGCGATAGTAGCCTGTGTCGTTAGCCTGGGTCCCTGTCAGTGTCAAGATCTTGCAGTAGGGCTTTGTGTCAGTGCCCTCACAGTCTTCTTCCTTGACCGAGCGGATACCGTTGAGACTCACCGACACCACTGAATCACTCTCCTTTTCGATCTGGACAGTGTCTACTTTGCCTCCAGGCCACGACCACTCCAGGGGATGCTGTCCTCTTTATCAGGATAAAAAGGAATAACAGACCTTGGGTTAGATGGCTGATTAACTGACTCATCGTGATCCATCTTGCATTTTAAATAGCAATTTTAGAGTGCCAGCTGGATTCCTACAGCATGTAAATCAATTATTTTTGCTCCTCTTACATTTTCTGTCTTACTTATAATTTTAAGACACATTCATTAACCTGTCCTACCACAGACATCTCTCCTTTGTGTGTATTGTTCCTATAACAGAAGCATTTTTTCTTGCAAAAAAACACCTGAACAATTTAAAGAATTGCATGGTTCACACACAATGAATAATGGTGGTTTAGCATTATGGGGATGAACCACATGGAATCTTGGACTTGTGTATTCTCTCCTCCCCTTTCTTTCGCCAGCCAAGCCATTAGGAGACCGCTAGTTTCTGTTAATGGTTTAGATTAACCATAGTATAATACTGACTGGGTTCACACAACACAACAAGCCACAATGGTTTTTTTAAAGCATTGTTTGTCATGTCATCTGAATCCAGTCATGGTATTTCAGCACTGTATATGTGTATAAACCATGATAAGAAACAATGGTTTGCTCTATGGTTTCTGTTTATCATGGTGGTTTCCTATGATGTCTGAACCTGGGATTGTGATCCTCCCCAGGCATTCAACATCTACTACCCATTTCGGCCTAATAACAGACGTGTCACTACTTGCCTAAAGGCTGTTCCCATCCCTCTCCATCTTACTGTCTCTGGGAATGAGGACTTTCTGGAGCATCCTGGACCAGGGGCAATAATACAGAAGGGGGAGAGGGGGGGCAGTGCATGAAATGATTGAAAGCAAAAGGTCTTGGAGAAGGGGGCATAGAAGATGGTGTTGGGTGGGCTGTCAAAAAAGACAAGCCTCATGGCTGATTCTTAAGGTAGAGCTGAGGGTGGAGTGGGAAACAAGCAAACAAGCCTACAGGCATGGTCAGGAAGATGGAAAGCAAAGCCTGCTCATATATGAAAGCCAGTGTGGAATAGTGGTTAAGAGCACAGGACTGAGACTCAGGTGATCCGAGTTCTAGCCCACGCTTGGCCATGGCATGGAGCCAATTGGGTGACTTTGGGCCAGTCACAGACTTGCAGCCCAACCTACTTCACAGGACTTTTGTTGTGGGAATAAGATTGATAGGAAGAGAAGAAGAATGATGTAAACTGCTTTGAGTTTGTTATAGAAAAAGACGGGAAATAAATCTAATAAATACATACATATATACATACATAAATGCTTTATCTAGGAAAAAATACTTGGCAGAGGGGGTGCCTAATTGAGGTGTTTGTAGTTTCTTCACAAAGTCAAGCATCAGAACATTTTTAGTGAAGGAAGGCTGGGGGACAGGATTGGATGTGGGTACAGATGCTTTGATGTGGAGAAGAATTGTGGTGCAAAAAGGTGATTTCTATGAGAAGATTCATTCATTAAAAGGCAGCTTTGGCTGAGGGATGCAGGGGAAAAAAGGGGGAATGGAACAGAGAGAGAACACACCCAGGGACCTGTGAAGAGAAGGCAGGTGATGTAGGCAAGGAACAATGCCCTTGATTGAATTATGCAAGGACATGGGATATGCAGGAACGCTGGGAAGTTGGAGCAGGGAGGATGGAAACCACAATAACACAGAAACCACTTGATTATCTTTGGGTAAATCACAAAACCCAGAAACCATGGTAACCAGGCAGGGTCCCTTGCGACGTGCAAACCTGCCTGTTATGTCTAAAGGCCTAAAATGTGGTTATTAACTATGGTTAAAATGTATACTAGTAACCTTAAACTATGCTTTGAAATGATCCTGCCTGGCAAATCACATCAAGCTGGCATCTCAAAATAAGCACTGTGAGGGAGCATTTGAGGCTGAGGAAGATCCCACAGCACAAAGCATGGCGCCTTGTTTGACTGCGGCTGCAGACAAGAGGCAAGGAATAAGCGTGTGCCCCTCTGCTCCACAGACAGAAGCTGACTGACCTGGCAGCTCAATCCGACTTCATAACGGTAACAAGATAGCATCCTCTGCAACACTTGAGGCCAGCAGGAAGTGAAGTGTGAGTGTGCGTGTGTGTGTGCGCGCACGCGCACAGGATAAGCCAGGTAGCTCCCATCTCTATCCCCCAGGAGAGGCGCATGGCTGAGGGTTGCCAGTGCTGCCCCACATCACCTGCTCCCCAAGGGGGATTGCTCACTCTGCCTGACGGTAGGGCTTGCCCTGTGGTCAGGAAGGGGAAACTGAGAACACACAGGACAGGACAGCTTTCCCCAGCCTGGTGCACTCCAAATGCTTTTGCCTCCAGACCTGTGGGCACTAAGTCAGGAAAGGCTGAGATGGGAAATATCTCCACTACAAAATTGTAATCACAGTCCCATCACTTTAACTTCACATCACATCACAGTTTCTTCCAAGACCTCTGGGGGCTCTAGTAGTTTGATGGATCCTGAGGAAATAGGAAGTGCCCATTTAGCCCAGTATTGACTGCTTTCTCTGGCTGTAGTTCTCTGGGGTCCCAGACAAAGGGAAGTCTTTCCCATCACCTGCTAGCTTTTGAAGCCTCTATGTGGCTTTGCTCCATGAAATGTCCAAAAGATCCCTTCTTTCTTTCTCTAGACCCTAGGAATTTGGCCATGGAGAACTTGTAAAGTTGCAAGGTGTCCCAGTGCTTTGCAAGTTTCTTCATGGTCTAGTGTGTAGAGGTTTAAGTCTGTTTCCCAAGTAATTGCTGCGAAAGGAGACTGGGTTTGCTCCTTTGATTGTATTAGGTCTCTGAGGTGTGGTGGCACTACCAACATTCGGTGTGACATCACAGGCAAGTCCCAAGATCACCCAAAGGTGGAAACAAAGGTGGTGGTTACCCCAAGTTATGTCTGACAACCTGGACAAAGTAACTACTGGAGTCTGACTTCTAGACAGATCCCAGTGGAAGGTTCCTGCTTCAAGAGGTGCTGATAGTTTGAAACAATGACAATCCACAAGGTTTAAATTCTTCCAGACATTTTTACAAACCAGGCTTAATATGATCTTTCCTGCCCCAAATAAGATTTTCTTACTGCCTGTCTTTGCCAGGAAAGGCCAAAAAGATATGGTCAGATTTCTTCTTCTCTGTAGGGGCAGTTACAAGCATCCATTGGAGTCACATTATCAAAGTGTAGATAGCAGAAATTCACACTTCTTTTTGACTATCTACTGATTAAGTTGGTTGGTGCTTGCTCAAGCTTGTATATGATGTAAAAGCTGGTAGTACCAGTTTCTCATACATCCCTTTTTGGAGTTCTGCCACCAGATACCACATGGTCTGCTTCTTAGTTCTTGAATAAGAATTGCAGAAATTCTTTGTATATTCTCTATACTGGAAAGACCAGAATGTGCCAAGGCCATGTTTAAGGAATTTGTCTTAAATCCTTTCATTCAGGGCCAAACGAAATGTTCTTCAAATCACAAATAGAAGAGCTATGCATGATTGGCTTATTTATTTCAGGGTAAATGCATATGGTTCTAATTTAGATTAGGTCTGTGGCGCAGATCTGCTAATCATGATTTGAAAAACATTTGGATGGATGCTTATAAAATTAATGGATGCTTATGAGGTTATCTCCACCTGAACTTTTCCAGGGATTCTGGGAATCCAATTGGCTTGATCTTGCTAGTAGAGCAAGAAGGACTATCTTGGGTCAGACCATAGGTTCAGCATCTATTCCCTCAGTGGACAAGCAGATATGGCCCATGAGGATCCATGAGTGTGTTCCCCAGCAGCAGGTATTCAGAGAGATACTGCCTGCAACACAGGAGGTAATATTCAGCAATCATGACTGGTCGCCACTAACAGTCTTATCTTCCATGAACGTATATAATTTCCTTGTAAAGCTATCTAGATTTGTGGTCATCATTAAATTCTGTGGTAGAAAATTCCTTACTTTATATTCTATGTAAAGAAGGAATTCCTTTTATCTGTGCTGAAAACCCTAGCTTTCAGCTTCAGCACTGATAAATTAGAGATTAATTATCAATATTTGATTTCCAGACTTTAGTCCTCTGGGCAGAACCATTTTGTGGCAGTTTTCATGTTACAGCTTCTTACCCTTTAATGGGTGTACAGGACATTGCACATGGCATGTGCACATTGTTGAAGGCATAGCACAATTCATGAGCACATGAAGATTCCTTTTACAGTGTGATTTCATCAATGCACATGTGTCCATGCATTCTGATGCAACTGTGCAATCGTGTGTGTGTGTGTGTGTGTATTTGTGATTTGATATAAGCGATACGAATATACAGTAAGCTTGTTCACATCCACAACCAACAGAGGAGCAAGCAAGGAAAAAAGCAGTGGACAACCACAGCAGACTGCACACACACAAGTTTTGAAATTAATTAATGTGTATGCATGTGGAGTGAAATATGGAGCAGAACAAAATAGAATAGAGGTCATCCACTTGTCTGTAATTCAATGTTTGTACTGGAACTAGTAAATGATGCTTCTCTTTATTTTCCCTACATGCATTTTGTTTCATTCTGTGATTATCAAAGCAAGTTCTTCAAGGACATCCATGTTCCTGGGACTTAGTGGAATCTAGGCAAGGAGGCAAAAAATCTTGCAGGTTTAGAAAAAGAACTGGGAGGAAGAGGAGGGTTCATTTTTACACTGCTTACATGCAGCAGCATGGACAAACATGCCTGTCTCCAATTCTCCAGCGAAATCTGAAAATAGATGTTACTTCATATTCATTTGAAACAATTTTGCTCCATTTCAGAAACCTACCGGCCACCTCAGCATCTCCCCACCATCTTTTCCCTTGTGGCCTGGATGCTGCATATTTCTATATTTCAACTCCCCCAGCTCCCACTAATATAAGCCATATCTATTCCGGGTGGTCTATGATCCACAGGAGACACTATGAAATAAGGCAGCTGGGCAAGATTAAAGATGCATGCACAAGTAGGAATTTGCTTCTTATTAGAATGTTGAAGAGAGATTGTGATAGCAGGTAAAAGAGATTCATTAGATGAACCTCCTTTTTGGTGAAACTGTTTCTTCAAGACATTACAGAAATAATAGCCCACAACCTACAAGGGAAGAGGGACAGAATACTAACTCTAAATTAAGAGAAGAAAATATGTCTATGTATGACTTATGCAATCAATAAGGTGACAGTAATTTTTGCAGGGGAATCCAGGACAAAGGCTTGCACTAGTTTTCATTTCTCAGTGGACTGAATCTCCAGTATTGTGACCATAGCACTGAAGTGCCCACAGATGCCTGTTTTGGCATGTGCTAAGTTCTCTGCTCTCCTCATTTTTACATCTCCTTAAATATTTTAATTGCATTTTAATTAAAATATCTTTAAAACCGGAAGGCTAACATAGAGCAAAATGAACTGCTGTCTTCCAGCATCATATTAACTTCCAATGTCTATGTGGGCCCCAGACAGGAAAGAAAAACTGGTGGATGGTTGGAACTCAGAAAAAAAAAAGAATAAGGTAACATGGTGGTAGGGATTGTAGGGAAGGATTAGATGGTCTGGTAGGAAACATCTTGGGAAGCTACAGATGGCTATTTCATATTTGTATTAATTATTACATTCATATTCCGCTTTCCTTCATTGTGGAACTCAAGATGTCTGTGGTTCCCGGGTGAGCCATGCTCCAAGCACTGACCAGACCCAAACCTGCTTAGCTTCAGCATGGTGGTTGCCTTCAGACCATACCCTGCAACAAGGAGGGTGTTTTGCCCATGCTGTGCGTTTGCATGTATTTTGCATTTTTTGCCTGGATGGATATTTTGCCCATGTGTGTTTATGTTTCTCTGAGCATCACCAGTTTGCATTCTGTAAAATGGATATTTTGTTGTACTTTATGGATGAAAGTACATGACTTGGCATTTGGGGCTCAAACCCCATCTCTTATTTGTACCCAAGTTCTTGCCAACGTTCTTTTTCTCTGAGACTCATCAGTCCATCCTCATCTGTGAAATGGGTGATGGAGCAGAGAAGTGTGGATACTGTCAACATGCGAAATGTGCCTACCAATCCATAAAGGCTGAGGGTCCTTTATGGTAGCTGTTTACAGAAAGAGGAAGCTGAACCTTGGGGGAGGCAGCAGTTAGTGGGCATGGCAGCCATGACCTTGCACAAGGACAGGGGCACCTTCCTCTTTCAGGGGATACATACGGAGTCCTTCCAACTGCTCTTATGCTAATGCATGGGAGGTCTTAGGTCATTTCATTTTGAGAACTAAAGATGAGGTGGTACAAGGCAACAGTAAGGTATAAAGGGATAGTCAACTAATTTTTGGCAAGATTCCTTTGTATAACTCAGAGAACAGATCCAATCTTTGCTTTGGCATGGGCAGCTTTGCATGTAAGAGTCCAGACTGGAAATAAGATACTTTCCTTCTCCCTGTGAGTCTCTCACATATAAATAAATGTTTAATCTGATTTGGACTAAAGTTTTCAATCTAAAATAACTGCTCTACTCTCCCTGGAAGGAGATATTAAGTAAAGAGCATTCTTCAACCTGTTTAGAATCAGGACATGTGTGTGCAGGTACAATGTATACTCAGACCCAACAAATTGTGCTGCTGTTTTGTTGATGTACATCAAGATTTCCTATAGAAGAAAAGATGTGGTAATAAGTTTCTCATGGAAGGTACAAATCCGGCGAAAGGGCAACTGCCTGACCATGCTGCAGTGGCCAAACATGTCTGCTTATTTTTGAATGGACACTGACTTTTAGGCCTCGCCTGCATGGCAGCCTCCCAATGTCCTGTAAACCCAAGTTCTGTTCCAAGTAAATCAGTAGAAAATATTATTAAGGTGAGATTGTTCTTTGTGATTTCAAAATCTCCTTCTGTAAACCCTTTTAGTTTCAAAAGCGATTTGCTATGTGACACTGGGGGAACTGCTGTCCAAGAAATACAAACCCAGAGTCCCCTTCAGCTTGTGGAGCTAGCGGGAATGTGCTATGGATTCCAGCCATAGTTATTATATGTTCCTGTACTTTTTATTGTTACTTTCTAAATTTTGTGAACATGCATGAAAAGAATACTAACTCCATGTATAAACAGGAATTCCTCCCCCACCAATTTCCTGATAAAGATTGTTCTTTCCCTGCTGCTGCCAAATGGGGAATCCGCATGAGGCCCTCTGGGGGATGAACAAAGAGGCTCCTGGCCATCCCTAAAAGTGGGTATGGGATGCAGGCTATAGTCTGTGTATCCTTGCACTAAGGTTTGTAAAAGTCTGCCTTCTCCTGCTTCTACACAGAGTTTAACACAGGCAGGAGGCAGGCAGGGGACTGGAGCATGATACTTAACCTTGTCATGCCTCACCTTTCTAGCCAGCTCCTTTTGTTCCTACTCTCCACCCAGGTGTGGTCCTAGACCAATTTTTCGATCAGAAATGGACTATCACCATCCTAGTTCAAGTATTCACAATGAGTTCCTGGAACCTAGGAGGAGGTTTGCCATCAAGCGCCTACAGATTGTCTTTGAGACGACTCAGAAAAATAAAGAGTGTTCTTTTTTCACACTTACCTGCAGGTAATATTCAATGTATCCTTGGCATTGATCACATATTCCTCTTCTGTGATGCTGAGAATGGGCGGGGTCATAGAATAGCCACTTGTGAGGTCTAAGAAGAGACAAAAAACAAGTTCATATCCTGCCTAGGAGTTATTCTTTACTGCAACTGTTCTCTCAAGCACCTGTCATAACCTGAATTGGCTTGATATTTCATGGTTGCCTGTTTAAAACCGCTTGCAAATATGAGTAACAGCATATCAAGAGTCACTCCATGTGCTTTCATTTGCTGGTATAATGGAAAAGTGAGCAATCTGAAAAGGCCATCCTGGCAGTTTTCCAGCATCTCAGACATAGTTAATTCGGTTTATCATAATGTGTGTGTGGGTCAGTATTTTTGTTTCAGAGTTGAAAAAAAACTAAAACTGTTGCATATTTACCTATATCTGAGACATAACAAGACATATAAGGCAAGAAGCACCAGGTGTGTTGAATACAAAAATAACCATTACCAAATCCTTACTCACACACGTACTCTGATTCTGCAAGTGAGAAGGGGTTCTAGTTACTGCCAGCAGGGATTCTGACTGCTAGATGCACAATGGGAATGGGGCTGCTGATGAAAACTTCATCAGTTCTCCAAGGTTGCACTGGTCTTGCTCCAAAGTAACCCCCAAGATATTGGCTCCTACACTCTTTTCGCAGCAATCAGAGAACTGGTTGCTCAACCCCCCTCCTTTAATAGTCTATGTTCTCTTGACCCCCAGCTGTGAGCACATGGACAGAGAGGTTAGCTCTGTGCTGCAGAGCCTTGGGGTGTTCTTATGGGAGGTTGCACAGTTTTGTGTCATTTTACTCAGATCTTTTTTACACGATGCATTCTGTGTGTTTGTTATTCCTTACTCACAATTGTTTAGGGTTCTTTAGATGATGATGTGATCGTTCCGCTTCACATCTGTTTTTAAGAGCATTTCTCTTGCTCTTAAAGAGAGGTGAAAATTAAACATAATTTCTGGAAGTGGGAAAAGTGTTTTCTTACTTGTGTCCCTGCGTTATTCCACTATTGCACAATGCCACCTAGAGATTATGTAGCAGAAAAGCAGAAAAGGGAAAGTTCTTTGTGTAAAACTGAGTTTTCAGTTTTGCAATTAAACTAAAAGTTAGATACAGCTCTACACTGAGAAGAGCTCTCAGTGCAGTTCTTGTTCTGAAGTTGTGCATTTCCAGGTATTTTTGTCCTGGAAATGCACAATTGTTCTTCAGCCATTTCTTTATTGCACATTGTTTCCTCCTAACCTAGAAGCAGAAGCCTCAGTGAGGCTTAGCAATTCGGCAGGTGCCTGTAACCAATGCTTATGCTCTTTATGTAAGATATGGAAACAGCAGCAGTCTCTGTCCTTCTGGCAAAGGGCCTCTTGCAAACTATCCATTCATTCTCACATGCATTCACATAATTTAAGGTTCTAATGGTCCAAAATAAATGTATACAGAAGAATGAAGGACTTAATATAGTGTCTAAAAGAAACCCAAATCATCTAAGATATGTGCGGCAAAGAAAACACAGTGTAGAAGCAACTACATTAATATTCTAAAAATAATACAAAATATAAAGCCTGATAACAGAAACATACGTTATTTATCTTTGCATGGTATAAAGTCTGCTGTGGGGGTGGTTGAGAGATTAGCTTCTTTACTGGTTAGGAATATAGGAAGCTGCCTTATACTGCTTTGATCTATTTACCCCAGTACTGTTGACACTGACTGGCAGCAGTTCTTCAAGGTTCAGGAAGGATTATTTCGTAGCCCTACCTGGAGATGCCCAGGATTGAACCTGGGACCTTCTACTTACAAAGCAGGTGTCCTATACCTAAGCTATGGACCCTCTTTGCATATTCTATCACTACACTGCTGCCCTAAATTATTTTACTAGTGAGCCACAGAGGCAACACTTCACATCTAACCACTACACAATAAAATATGAGCAGGGGTGGCCAAGTCTTGGAAGGCTTAGCCCTTGGGGTGTAGGAAACAAAAGATATGAAAATTATGGGGAAAAAACCTCCTACAGTACTAGATTAAGCAACTTGGGGGGTATTTGGGCTTCTGAAATACATTTGGCATAGAGTTTTACATATCCTGGCTTGCAAATCACTTTCTTTATGAGTCTTATCACATTCTGGAATCTATTTATCATAGGACATCTCATAGTATGATACTGGTGAGGATCCCTTTGGCCTACAAGCTCATATGTTAAAAATCCTCAAAATATTGGGGCTTATTGAGATTTATTGTAAAAGCAAAAATCACAAAGGGAGGAAGTACTTTTTGTATTTACGTTTTCTCAACCAAAACTCACAGATTCCTATTTAGTATTTACATACTATTTGCATAGGAGAAAAATGTCAGTGCAGATTTAAATTTTAGAGGATTCAAGTATCAAGCACATTCTGACTCGTTTTAAAAATTATTTGAACATCTCTGTATATGCTACTTTACGTGTAAATCAGTATTTACTTTTCAGTCACACCATAGCCAGAAAAAGTTAATACATTTGCACTCTTTGCCCAGTACATGTTTATGTTTTCTAATAATGATGGGAAGCTAAGGGGAAGACAATGGAAACAAGAAACTGAAAACCCGTCAGCTTGAATTACAATCTGGAAAGCAGGTAAGAAATGCCAGAGAAGCAGAAAAAAAGTGCATTTAGAGAGCAGATTCCCCACATACTGCTGAGAAACATGTAAAGTCACATCTAGTTCATAAGAATGACCTGCCCAAAATGTAGCTCAGTGTAGACATCCTTGAGCCTTTTAATTGTTTTACACTTCCTTCCTGTTGAGAAATCATTCAGACAGCAGCCATTTGATTAGGTGTATCTATAGAAACTGGGTTCGCATCAGCCACCTCTCTTTTCTACCTCTGACAGACATGCTTGTCTCCCAAGCCCCAACCATGCTTTTCCTGTAGTACTGGCTGAAGTAACAGCAGTAATAACAGCAGTGGCAGCCGCCACAACAGCGACATGGAATGACTGGATGGAGTCAAGCCCCCTAGACTCTTCCTGAAGTTTTTTTTCCACTTTGCTTGTAGCATTTAGCATCATGATTTCCAAAGTGTGAAGTAGAATTCCCTAAAGAGGAAAGAAACAAACGACACCAACCTTTCTCTATGCTACAGACTGAAATTTCTCTGCTATACTGGAGCCAAATATTAGGACATGTTCTGATTGCTGCAATTTAGGAGATTGGATGATGATTGACAAGGGCCAACACAGAACAATGGAAGTGATATGTAGCATGCTAGTTTCCCACAGTGAATGTGGGTTTGTCCATAGAGGCCAAATGGCCTGAGAATGTACTATGCTGTTCTTTTGTTAAAGCTAAGCACATCTCTATCTAATCAGTGCTGATAGGTGTGAGCTTAGGTGGACTCCGGGAGATGGTGGAGGACAGGAAGGCCTGGAGGAGTGTTGTCCATGGAGTCGCGATGGGTCGGACACGACTTTGTGACTAACAACAACAACAAGAAGAAGAAGAAGAGGAGACTACCTAGACCTAGCTGGTCAGAACAACAGAAGATGCTCTGAGTGTCAGTGCAATATAGATGTAATCACAGCTAAAATATGATAAAACATTTGGATATTTTCCTGGATGCTTATCACACTCCCAGCTGTGTTCTGCACCACCAAAACTGGAACATAGGAAACTACTATGTGGGCATGCCCTTAGGTTTACACTGTTGACCTCTTGATTAAACAGAATTCCAAAAAGTAGAGACAGACAAGTTCAGACAAGACAGACCAGACTGGTTTCCTATGACAGACATCACAGCTGAGCATGGGACCAGGCCAGAAGCAACAATGATGAGGGAGAGGTATCCTTTGAATCAGACTTTGATTGGAATGTGAGAGGCAGGAACATTCTGTTCTAACTAGGTAAAGGTTGGTTAACTTGTTCCTATTGAATCTCATTTTATTGCTTTCAGTCCAGTGTTCAAGTTTATCAAGATTCCCCTAGATCTTCATTCTGTCTTCTAGGGTGTTTGCTATTCCACCCAGTTTTGTATTGTTTGCAAATCTGATCATTGTTCCTTCTACTTCCTCACCTAAATCATTAATAAAAATGTTGAAGAGCACTGGGCCTAGGACTGAATCCTGCAGCACCCCACTAGTTACCTCCATCCAGTTTGACAAGGAGTCATTGATATGCACTCTTTAGCAGTAAATTTTGGATGTACTTAATAGTTTTTCTATGTAGTCCAGTTTTTGCCAATTTGCTAATCAGAAAGTTGTGTGGCAGTATGTCAAAAGCTTTGCTAAAGTCTAGGTAGATTATATCCACAGTGTTCCCTCTGTCCATTTGGGAGGTTACCCAGTCAAAAGCTGAGATTAAATTAGTCTGACAGGATTTATTTTTGAAAGATCCATGTTGGCTTTTATTAATCACTGCTTCTTCTTTAAGATGCTTGCAGACTGATTTTTTAAATAATTTGCTCTAGAATTTTTCCAGGAATTGCTGTCAGACTAACTGGTCTGTATTTGCTTGGTTTGTCTCCCCCCCACCCTCTTTTTTTTGAATATGGGGACAACATTAGCCTTTCTCCAGTCATCTGACACTTCTCCAAGATTTATCGAAGAAAACAGACAGTGGTTCTGAGAGTTCCTCCGCTAGCTCTTTTATGGTGCTGGCCCTGGAAATTTGAACATGTTTATTCCATCTAGATATTCCTTGACCATGGTCAGTCTTGGGCTGCCATTTCTCACTTTTAGCTTGTACTTCCTCTTTGTTGTATATGTTCTTGTGGGAGGAGTCTGAAGCAAAGTAGGAACTGAGCATCTCTGCCTTTTCCTTCTTGTCTGGTAATCCACTTTAAGTAGCTGGACACCTTTCTTTTTCATATGTCTTTTGTTTTGGATGTATCTGAAGGAGGCTTTCTTGTTGTTCTTAGCATCCCTTGCTAGTCTCACTTCATTTCCTGCTTTAGCCTTCCTGACTGTCACAGCAATTTCTTGCTATTTGTTTATATTCTTCCTTTGTGACCTGGCCCTGCTTCCACCTTCTGTACATGTTCTTTTTTTTTCCTTTTCAGGTTATCACTAGACTTTTTGTGGAG